CGTGCAGGAGCTTTTGTTTTCTTTGTGTAAAAGGGCAGGAGTATCTCTTATACTCCATTATTTTTAATAATATATTTACTTTGCTGATCAAAAAAAAAAAATGTATTCAACATAATACGATGAAATTTGAACAGTACTATGGTAGGACTGAAAAAGTTTACTAACCTGGCTTGAGTTGCTTTATGCAGATTGGTTTTGCATTTGATGACGTTGATGTCATAGAGGAAGGAACACTAATTGCAGTCATTGGGCACCAAAGATTGCAAGGTGAGGAGTCCATAATCCAAGAGAAGGTGAGTCTACTATTTCAATGTCCTGTTTCTGTAGCTTTCTAATGGAAGATGAGAACCATGACATGAGAATTTGTTAAAGACAATGTGAGCTGTATGATACTTTGTGACATTATTATACTGAATTTATAGAATCATATGATTTTTTCTTCTAGAGGTTTTGTTACCATAGGCTGAGTTAAATCATTTTGCTTGCAATCAATACTAAATGCAGCTGATCAGCTTGTGTTCATGGTCTCAGAAAATCAATATAAAGGTGTTCTAGATGGTTCTATTCCTGTTCTAATACAATCTGTAAATAGCACAGACTTTTCTTGGTCATTGCTAATTCTCTATGATTTATTGTAGTAGGTGTCTTATTTTGTCATTGCTCTCTTAAGTTGATATTCCTTCCTTAAATTTTAACTGCAACTGAAATCATGTTAACCTTAGAGTTTATAATACTTCTTTTTTTCTTTTTTACCAACATTCATAGTGCTTGTTAAGTTTTTCCTTTCTAATGCCTTTGCCTTCTTTTCTCAACGCTCTTATACCTTGTTTAAGGGGAAAAAAAAAGGCTTAGAGTCCTGACTCATATATTTTGTGTGGTGTTGCAGAGGAAAGCTGTTCTCACATATATTTTGATTGCTGCTCAGTAAGTTTGGGATTCATAGCTAGTAGCTGGGAAGTTGAATGGAGTAGGCTCAGGAGAATTTGTGGATTGAGGAACAATAGAACTAGGAATCTATGCAAGGTGTTGATCATGACTTTATAATTGATCTGCATAGGAAAGTTGTTTTCACTAGAATATTTTTAGAACAGGAATCATTACACAAGTACAGACTATTGAGTGTATAGGGAAATTTTTAGGGTTTATTCAAGGTGGTAGACAATAAATAGTATAAGAGTGGTATGGGATTTCCATGGAGATGCCTGGGAGGTTTTTGTATTTTTTTTCTTTTTAGGCTATGTATCCTGCATTTTTTTTAGAAATTTTAAATGAAATTAC